ATTGGCAAGAGGATAGCTTGGGGTAGGATAGGCAGAGAGGCTGATAGATACCAGGTGATTTCTGTGTTGTGCTCTGCAACTGTCGCATAGGAGAATAGGACGTCCTTGAATATATGACTATTCTGTCTCCTGCCACCATCCCAGCAATCACTGAAAATCACCACAGTTCGCATCCAGCAATCCTTTGCCATGGTCGAATGTTCCGATGTTCTTCCGCAGATTGAGTTGCAACCACTCGTTAGAGCATATTTCTCGATGTCAAGATTATTTGCCAAGGTCCTCCTCCCTGACGACGATGATGATCACAATATCCATGAAAGTGTCCTTGTGAAAATTAACGGGGAGCTTCAGACTCGTTCTTCCTCGCTGATAGATCAAGTCTCACCTTCCTGCCGCCTAACTGGGGCTGAGAACTATGTATAAACATGGGTCTCCTGTCTCAGCCTAAGTCCAGACCGACGATCACTTGGCTGCAACACCGGACGAACAATTGCACCCGATACTTCCGGGACCGTTGAAATGGCGGAGAAACAAACTCATCTATTAAGGTTCCGCGAGTGGGCCCGGGAGCGGTTTGTGTAGTCGAGCATCATGCAGTGTCTGATATCATACTCAATCTATCTCTCGCATCCGACGTCTGTCGATCCCTGATTTCTTCGGGCCTATTTCGGAGGATTGACCGCATGCTGATCGTTCCCAGCGGCACTCCAATGGAACTCTGTTACTCTGATGGTCGGTAAGGACCATATTCTGTATGGCCCAGTGTATGGTTTTCTATGAGAATTGATAAACGTGATAGATACTACCTGTGTGCACAATGCGTGCATATAAATACCTGCCGGTCTTCATTGCTCAAAGAGGCAGCTCAGTCAAGATTGTACTGCCTGTCCCTTTCATGGTCTTTTCCCGTCGCATATAGCTCCATTCCATCATGAAGGTTCTTCCTCTCTTTCCACTTTTCTCTGCAACGCTATGCCTTGCGACGGCCATTCCCTCCCAGCCAGCTGTCTGTGGCCCCGACGAGGCGGTCATATTCCTGAGCAATGGCACCACAACCACCGTCAAGAAGGCTGAGTTGACCTCGCACTTGCAAGGCCTCACCTTCCTTTCTCCGGAGGCAACCGATAGCACCTTCCCACGGCTGATCAAATCCAACGCAGCCCCATCCAACATCACAAAGCGCGGATCCAACACGGAGCTCATCATCCCGCTCCCTGACCTCGACTTCCTCGGATGGGATGTGGCCATGTCGACCATCGTGCACGCCAACCAGGCCGCCGCCACGGTGGCCATCCAAGCTGGACAGTCCATCGCCAATAGCATCACCACAGGCACGTCCGCCGACTTCACTCTCGTTAAGGACTTCCTATCTGCGTCCACCAGCATCAGCTACCAGGAGACGACAACCAGCACCGTGACTGGCACCGTCACCATGACCATCCCAGCGAACAAGTGGGGCGCGATTGTGAGCAACCCCTTGACCCATCGGAAGAGAGGCTACGTCTTCACGGGCCAGCCGGGGAGCGGGCAATTCGAGTATTATCAGGCCGACTCCTTCAATGACGCGAGCTTCAACCTTGAGGGAGGAACGCTGTCCTGGGTTAAGGGAGTGGTGACGACTTGCTTGGGTGAGACATATCCGTTAGCGCGATGCGTGGGCGATGGTAGTCTGGAGTGATGGTCTACTGCTCTTGAGCTCCAGGATTTGGGTCGATTGGAGTCTGTGAGACAGTGTTATACTGTTCCGTTGATTGAGAGCTTTCTCACAAATCGGAACTTTATCGACTGCAAAAAGTAGCCCCTGTCAGAAGGGACTCTGATGTATTTTGAAAGGTCAACATCATGGCTTCTGTATACTACCGCTTTTCCCTAATCTTCTCGCCCCTTCTAGCTCACCTAAGATCTCAGTCATATTATGCTACAGTGCGGTAGATATCCATCAGAATAGATGAGGTACTGTACTGTATTTGCGCTTTCCAACCGGGGAATAGCCGTTGGAGATCCAGAAGTATGTTACCATGTGCTGGTGAGAGTGATATAACTCCTTAGGCGTTCAGTAACAAAAGTACAGCGGTTCGTAGGATTGCACACTCATAGAAAGCTATAAGTCCGGTTGAAGCATGTTGGATAAATGCAGAGTCACTGTAGCTATAGATCTATGTGTCATGTGATATCGGAAATATCCAAAGCTAATCTGGCACGTGCAGAAGACCAAGTTGGGTCTTACCGCCTTCATGCCTGAGGCCGACGCCCACCGCATCCCGCCACTTGGTGCCGGTTGACGTCCCCGATTCAACTCCCCTTTCAACTCCTTTATCGAGTGCTGTTACTTTACCCCGGCTTCTTGATTGATATCGCGACCTCCGCTGTGATGTCTCGACGCGCCACGCCGTCTCAGGCTGCTCAAAACCAACAGGTCATCAAGAGCCTGCTGAAACTTGAACAAAACAAGACATGTGCTGATTGCAAGCGCAACAAGCGTATGTGACCACCTTCCGGAACTTTTGGGTCACTAGCCCTTTTCTTCTTCTTTCACCCGGCACTGTACACTCAATGCAAGGCAATTTGGAAACTCTCGGCAAGGCTAACATATATTAACTATAGACCCGCGGTGGGCATCATGGAATCTGGGTATTTTCATCTGTATCCGTTGCTCGGGAATTCACCGGGGCATGGGCACGCACATCAGTCGGGTCAAGTCCGTAGATCTGGATTCATGGACGGATGAACAGCTTCAGAGTGTTGTGAAATGGGGCAATGCTAGAGCAAACAAGTTCGTGTTCCCGCTCTCCCTGGGATCGCATTGACTTTACAGATAGCTAATTGTCATCGACAGATATTGGGAAGCCAAGTTGGCGCCCGGCCACGTCCCCTCGGAAGCGTAAGCGGAACCCCTCCATCGCTCGCGGAGATATCGTGACTGACAAACACCACGACAACAGGAAGATTGAGAACTTCATCAGAACCAAGTATGAGTCGAAGAGATGGGTCATGGACGGTCCAATGCCTGATCCCTCGACCCTAAGCGATGGTGATGACGACGTGGTAAGGGACTAGGAGTCTACCCCACGTATTAGATCGATAACTGACCTCGGTGTCCGTCAGCCCCTCGCAGTCGTCCAGGAAAAGGCCAAACTTGAGCGCTCCGCATCTCAGCGGGTGGCGACGGCTAGTCAACCTGCCGTCCATCATCGTCCTCAAGCTTCCGTCGACCTCTTCGGTGACGATATCTCTCCACCCGCGCGTCCCAGTACAACGGAGCCTGCAACTAGGGCGGCTCCCAAGCAGCCTCAGTCTGCACCCCTTGCTAAGCCTGCTGCCCGTCCTGGAGATTCGTTGTTGGGACTCGACTTTTTCGGCAGCACACAGCCTGCGCCAACTAGCCGTCCGGCCAGCACTGCGTCCACACCTACTGGTTCGACCGGAATGTCTCGCCCTGATCTGAAGCAATCCATCCTGTCCCTTTATTCGAAGCCAACCCCTGGCCCGATGCAGCATGAGCGCACGTCCTCTTTTGGCGATCTGGCTTCACCGCCGCCCCAGTCGGCCTCATCTTCAAACTTCGGTGGGTTGACCGATGCTTTCAGCGGGCTGAGCATCCCCTCCACCACTTCTCCCCCGCCTGCCAAGCCGGCCGAGAAGCCTTCGCCATTCGCCAATCTTGCAAACTTCGCCAGCATGAAGTCTACCCCCGCGGCTCCGAAGGTCTCTTCACCAACTCTCTCCATCGGTACTGGAGGAGGCGGCAGTCTGTTCGACAGCCTTACTTCTCCTACTCTGCCACCAGCGAAGCCCCAGTCCCGGAATGCGTCTTTCTCTTCCAATGGCTTTGATTCAGGATTCACTAGCTTCGCTTCCGCTGCTCCATCTAAACCCAACCCACCGTCGTCCTCATTCTCAAATGATTTGCTCGGCTTCTCTTCCCCTCCTCCAAAGGCCGCTGCACCCCCGCCTCCAGTGTCTGCTCCCAATCCACAGAACGAACTGAAATCCGCGTTCAATCTCACTCCCGCTCCTGCGCCTGCTCCAGCACCGAAACCGGCCTTCTCGCCCCCAACGGCCTCTGTTGCCAGCGCACTTCCGCCATCCAGCATTGACCCTTGGGGAGGCAATGCCTGGAGTACGCCTGCTCCCGCTCCCACTCCATCTGCTGCATCTTCAATGATGAAGATTCCGGACACCCTGACTGCCCACGATGTTGGCGCTGGCTGGGGCGCGCCGACGTCGCCGGCCGCGGTTTCTAAGCCAACCCCCACAGTCGCCGCTGACGAGGACTTCGGTGGTTGGACCAGTGCGGCACCGATTTCCTCGACTACCGTTACCTCTAATAACACATCTAATACGTCCAACTCCTCCAAACCGGCTGGCGGGTTTGGCGGGGCTGATGATCTGTTCTCCAACGTTTGGGAGTAGGCTTCTTCCTTTGACTTTGCATTCGTCTACTTTGCACATACCTAGTTTCTCCAAATCAAGATTAGACATGAACATCAACTTCAGATGTGATCCCACATTTATCTGAGTTTCACTTCTCTCAAGATCTGCTTGCTTTCTTCTGTGCCCCTCTCTTTTGGGACCTTTAATCAGTCATGATTCAGTATGAATGACCCTCAAGGAAAAGAATGTTGGGTGGTCTTAGGGATTTGCGCTTGGCATCAAGGCATGTACTGTATGTACAAACAAAAGAACTAGTGCTTCAACGATTTTAGCAACGATTTCCTTGCATGTAATCCTAGTTCGAGCGTATCTTCTCGGAACTATTTGCGAATAAGCCTTTCCTGCCAAGGAGATTTGACGAACTCGCAATGAGGGTTGAGAGTCTCGAGACGGTTCATTCAGGCGTACCATTATGGAGCCTGGTGTAGTTCTCGCGGGTGCGAATCTGTGGCTTATCTAAAAACAGCCTAACCATAAGAACGCTAGTCGGCTGAGGGTTTGAAGTATATAAGCCATATTCCTATGCTTCCATAAGACGTGCTCTTAGCCCACATCTTCTATTCTACTGTTACTACATAGAGTCATACAAGTCACTCAAGAAATATATCACCAGGGCCCATTATCACCATGACATCGACCATTTATCTGATAACAGGAGCAAGTCGAGGTATGTTTACAAGCAAGAGCCACGACTGCCTCGTGCCCGCTTAGAGCTGTTGTTGGGGTACTGCACCTCGACGCACACACTTTTCTGTATACTGACCATGTGCACTCGAAATATGACAGGGATCGGCCACGGCCTTGCCAAAACCCTCGTCTTGCGTCCCAATTGCACCGTCATCGCCGCCGTGCGCGATCCCTCTGCCGATGCAGCGCAAACGCTCCTCGCCCTCCCCGCCGGCGAAGGATCCCGCCTCCTCCTAGTCAAGATCGACGCTCAATCGGACACCGACGCCCACGAAGCCATCCGATACCTTCAAGAGGCGGAGAACATCCACCACCTTGACGTCGTGATTGCCAATGCGGGCTACTACGATGACGACTACCGGTTGGAAGACGTCCCGCTGTCCAAAGTCCAGCGCCACCTGGACGTCAACACCGTCGGCATACTCCGTCTCTTCCAGGCGGTTTTCAAGCTGCTGGGCGAAAGTTCCCAGCAGCAACACCAACCAAAGTTCGTGACGATCAGCAGTTTTATGGGCAGCATTGCGGGGCTGGATGAGGAGTACTTTCCCGGTGGTGGCTATGGCGCCAGTAAGGCGGCGGCGAATTGGATCACGAGGAAGATTCATGTGGAGAATCCGAGTTTCGTGAGCTTTATGATTCATCCGGGGTGAGTGGGGGATATCCTTGCCAGGTGATGCCGGGGCATTAGTGTTGCTTTGGTGGTTTATTGACTTGGTTGTGTGCAGATTCGTCAAGACCGCCATGGGCAATGCTGCTGCCAAGAGTATTGGACTGGACTCTGCGTTTAGTGAGGTCGATGAATGTGCGGACGGAATAGTCAAGCTGGTTTGTGGTTGATCGCTTCTTATCTGTCGTGGCGATGCTAACATGCTGTCTACTCAGATCGATGGTGCAACAAGAGAGTCTGTTGGTGGTCGTTTTGTTACTGTTAAGGGCCAGGATGTGGCTTTCTAATAGCAATTGGTTAGGTATGGAAGAGGGTTACTCTGGGTTGGTTGTTGACTTGTGGATTGTGGATTGCGGATAGTCTATATGGAAATAGAAATAGACAAATATAGATTAGGAGGACTATGTCCACGTTACGTACTCCGTCGAAAGGGGACTATACAAGGTCTAAGACTTTGTGCCTGAGGCCAGAAAGCTTGCTTACAGTACCCTTGTCTATAGAGCTCTGCTACGGTCAATTTGATACTAGAGTCAATACCAGCCACTCTATAAGTAACATTAACCACAACTTCGATAAGACAACAATTGCTAATCTTAAATGCCCAGTAACTGTCAACAAGTGCCGAACTATGGGCTGATTGACTCGCGACAAATCCTTCTTATCTGATTGGATGGTGCCTTTCGGCCGCTCCGCCTCCGCCTTCCGAGATCTTTTGATCGGCCGCCAACTTACCTACCTGTAGGTTCATCAACACCCCGACTCAATCCATATCAGGTCCCAATTATTCCTGGCACCCGTCACCATGGCGTTCCTGGGGCCTTCCGCACCTTTGCTGCGGAGTCTTGCCCCCCGATTGTCAAAGGAATTCTTCACCTGCCGCCCATGCCTCATCAGGACTCAGAATTATGCATCCACGTCCGCTTTGCGCAAGCAGTTCTTTGCGCCGGACAATGCTCGCAGTGCAGTCAACACTATTTCTCTGCGCGCCAGAGCCAAGGGTGCCTTTGCCTCTAGCCTGAGAAACTATGCCTCCAAGTCCTCCAAGTCCTCCAAGTCTGCCAAATCTCCCAAGCCTGCCAGTACCTCGCAGTCCGCCCAACCCGCCCAGGCTCAGTCTGCTGCCTCTGCCGCCGCACCCGAGCAAGCACCGAAACGGTTCTTTCCTATCCTCACCCACAAGGTGGTAGCCTACTGGCTGTTGGCTAGTGCTGCTAGTGTCTTTGGTATTGTTGTCTTCGGAGGCCTTACTAGGCTGACGGAATCAGGGTATGTGTCTTGTGAATGATCGGTCGCGGAGGCATACACTGACTTGGTGTATAGTTTGAGTATCACAGAATGGCGCCCCGTTACCGGATCCATCCCTCCCATGAACGACGAAGACTGGGAGTCCGAATTCGCCAAGTACCGTGCCTCCCCCGAATTCCAGCTTCTGAACCCGAACATGACGCTCTCCGAATTCAAGTCAATCTACTACATGGAATGGATTCACCGTCTCTGGGGCCGCTTCGTTGGCATCTCGTTCGTGCTCCCGGCTATATACTTTGTCGCGAGAAGGAAGGTTAGCAAGCCAATGGCCCTGCGCCTTGCTGGTATCGCAGGCCTGATTGGTTTCCAAGGATTTTTGGGTTGGTGGATGGTTGCGTCTGGACTTAAGGAGGACCTTTTCGCCCCCGGCAGCCACCCTCGCGTCAGCCAGTACCGTCTCACCGCGCATCTTGCCGCCGCCTTCGTCTGCTACACTGCTATGCTCTGGAACGGTCTTGCTATCCTGCGCTCTCTGCGCCTCGCCTCCGATGTGAACAAGGGCCTGAAGCAGCTCAAGAAACTCCATTCCAAGCACCTGAAGGTTTTCCGTCGCTCTGTGGCCGGTGTGGCTCTCCTGGTCTTCGTTACCGCCATGTCTGGTGCCCTTGTCGCCGGTCTTGACGCCGGTCTCATTTACAATGAGTTCCCTTACATGGGCAATGGACTTACCCCTCCCAAGGAGGAACTCTTGGACGCACGTTATTCCCAGCGTGAGGATCGCTCGGATCTCTGGTGGCGCAACATGCTGGAGAACCCCTCCCTGGTCCAGCTTGACCACCGTATCCTGGCAATGACTACATTTACCAGCATTATGGCCTTGTGGGCTTACAGCAAGGTCCCTAGGGTTAATCGCGTGATGGGCCGCTCGGCGCGCCGAGGCGTTCACGGCGTGGTCGCTTTCGCCTTCTGCCAGGTCGGTCTGGGTATTTCGACCCTTCTTTATCTCGTCCCCACGCCCTTGGCCTCCGCTCACCAGGCGGGAAGTCTTCTCTTGCTCACTTGGGTATTGGTCCTGGGCAGCCGTGTCTGGCGCCCAACCCGGACATTTAAGCTACTCCAGCTGAGACAGCAGTATGCGGCTGCTCGTGCCGGCGCCAAGAAGGCCTAGATCATGTCTCTGTCATATCCCTGAGAATGGGGATTGCGGGGATCGTTGACGAAAGAAATGCATGTGTATGGCCCTGCCACAGTGTGGCTTGAAGTGGCTCCTTGATTTTCTCTTGTGTTGTATTTATAACCCATCGTCCTCTCTACTTTCGGAGCTTCTTGTTGTTTTTCTTTTTGTACAATAACATTGCATTTTCAGTGCTATCTTGCGCATCATCACTCGATCCTGTAGCGATATTGAAGATTTGCAGGATGAAACTCAGAACTTGATGTACACCGCTAAAAACCCGATAGGATCTCCTCCCACACCCACCGCTCCTTTACCATCCCCGAGCTATTTTTACTCCGGTCAAAAGCCACACCCTTGCCACCAAAAAACTAGTCAAGAGCCCTTATATCGAAAACTAGATCTAGCATGCTCGGCGACGACTGCTTCTCCAATTTATAGGCGACGTTGACGGGAAAGATGAGTGTCTGCTTTGGAACTATAAGCAAGCATCCATGCCGGAGAATTGAATTTCCACGAGGGGATGGGATCACTTACGCTTAGCGACTGGAACCAGGGAAGTAGATGGGACGTGCAGCAGTGCGGGCTGCCACAGTATCTTCCGCTTCGACCTGCACAGCATCGTGCTTCGCGAGTCCCTGATGCTGGTTCGTCGGATTCATACCCGCGAGGGTTTCCGAAGCACGGCTCTGCTTATACTCCTCAATCTCCCGCTGGGTCAGCGCGCTCGCGTCTTCGATTATGCTACCTTCATCTGGGATACCTCCGGCTGCAAGATATATACCTTGTTAGACATCGGGTACCGGACTGTGATAATCTTCACCTCCAGGGAGGGGGGCATACCTCGCTTTACATCTTCTATCGCTGTCGCCGCGGTTGAAAAGGTAAGAAGCTCGCCAGCATCCTCCATATCTTGATCACTGTACTCTGGTCTTCCCGATGGAGTGGCTGAGATGTAAACACGAGCTGCATTGGCGGTGAAGGCGTCATCGAGGCCAGGCGGCGGACCCCAAATACACTCGTGGCTGTAGCTCGGATGCACTGTACTGACGAATTGCTGAGCCTGCTTGGGCTTGGGAAATGTGCGAATGTTTGCACCTGCCTCGGCCGCCGTACCTTCTGCTTCCGTCACTGCTCCGAAATCTCGTACGATCACGTCCCCGTCGACGAACGACTGATAGGTACTCGCGCGTGGATGGGGATTCTCGAACACACCTGTCTCCACATGGTACCTTGTCTCAGTGGCTGTTCCCACGCTCGAGCCGTCGTCTGAAGTGCTGACCGGGGACTCCAAGCCGCGATTGTTCCTCGCATGCGCATGCGCACTCGCCCTTGCACCACTACCACCCGCCTTCTTCGCTTGCTTCCTTCTCTTTGTTCTGCCTGTCGATCGACTACTGGTTTCCGTGCTGCTCCGCAGTAATTCCTCCCGCGTGGTCGGCGCAACGTGCAAAACGTTCCCGCAAATGTGAGCTCTGCGAAGGCCATGGCGGATGGTGCAATCGTGACAACACTGCCACTTGCACACCGTACAGCGGCTCATACCGGAGGTGTTGCGGCCATCGCACACATCGCATTTCGCCGTCCGCGCGGGTTGGTCTTCGAACGCGGTCACGATCTCAATGCCGGGAGGGGACGGGGACAGGGACAGGGACCGACTCGCAAAGCCCATCCCGTTGTCTGGCGGGTACCCCCCTCCGGCGAACGACGAGTAAGTGCGGACGGGCCGAGGCTGCCAGAATGGGGACAGGCGGGATCTCTGCACTGTGGACTTGCGGGGTGGCGGAGGATTGTCGTCCCTCTGCCGGAACTCCTCTAAAATGTCATAAGCTTGTCCGCGGGGCTCTTCGGCTACATGGGGAAGAGGAATACCTGGCTGAGCTGATGCGTCCCCCAGAAGAGGGATTGGATAGAGAAACTCGTCTTCGGTGCTTAGGGCTCGTTGATCACCATCGGGATCGGTCACCACGATGACTGGAGCAGCCGGTGCGGACGTCAGGTTCGATGATCCTCCCGCGGTGGATGCTGGAGACTGCTGGAGGAGAGGGTGAGTGGAAGGTGTAACCGTAGGAGCAGCTCTGGGTGGATAGTAAGAGCCGTATGGAGGTGGAAGAAGTCTCGTGGTTCTAGCGGGCTGTCCATGTGGGGAACGGTTGATTGCGAATGCCTCCACACTGGCTTCATCCACCGTCTGATACAAGGGAAACTGTAAGTCATTCATCTTATCACGAAGAATGGGGCTGACTGAAGTGATAAAGGCATGCTCTCACCAACTGCTTTGGTCTGTTGGACGATCTTTGGACAACGCCTAGACCTGAATCGGTTGTCTCACGGTTTCTGAGAACCTGGTGAACTGATGGCAGACAGTCGACCACCTCTTCCAGCTCGATGCCTTCGAGAATCTGCGGGACAGCAGGCAATGGTCTGCGTCTGAGCGCATGGGGTCTATTCTCTGATTCGAGATAAGTTAGCATAATTCGTCTCCGACAATCAATTCGGCTCCCTCCTAGTCAAGATATTGAGGCTGCAATATCAGATTCTCCCTCAGCCAGACTATCTGATTCAGAACCATTGTTTATGATCCAGATATCTCTTGTTGTTGTCTCAGTTTCAGAAGGAAAGAGAACCCCACGGTCCCAACAACATAATCACACGCATATAAAGCAAGTTTCAAAGCTGAAAGAGGATAGAGATCCCACAAGAATATGGGGTAATGCAGAAAGCCCCTTATTATCGAGAGAACTCTCTCGGTTATGAAAGATATACTTACCACGGTTTGACATGATAGCCCTTACCCTGTGTGATGGCTCACACTGCTCATCACCCGGCACCTTTATCTGAGGGTCTTGATTTCAGGACGTGAACTCGAATGATCTTTACCCTTGACAAGTCGTTGTGAGCACGGCTCTCTTATTCCGTACTATCGAGAAAAGTGTGCCAACTGTCACAGCCCTGTGTAAGTCTCAGTTCAAGGTTAAAGAACGTAAAGGAGAATTTGTAGTTGGGGAGAGAGATGAAGAACAACAGGAGAAGGGAAGAAGAAAGAAACAAGAGAAACAAAACACGTTCAACAGATACCCTGCCTGCGACGGTCACGACGCAAGGTACGGACAATCTGCTAGGCACTGCTGCGTTTTATACGCAGGTACGACAATACGCACTAGTGTGATAATACGATCTGTCCTGCCACCAGGGTGACGGTGAATGCTACAGCCATATATAACACGGTCATGGCTTGTCCTACTCTGTTGTCTGTGTATGCGCTTCTGGGTTGGGTGTACGCTCCCCTGGGTGATTTTGTCGATTTGACGGGTATAGGAGGATTGGCGAAGGTGAAGGGGTGTGTGCTTAGCAAGCTTTGTTGTTGCCCAGGACTTTCATTTTAGAAGCATTCTGAGCAATATAAAGATGATTGATTCTGGGTGCTGTAAGAGAGAAAGCTGGTCTGGTTGCTCTGCTAGTTGGAATGAAGCTTTGGCTAATATTGCAGCTCGTACAGAAGTATCGATGACGAGTAGAGGAGCTGGATGTAAGGTGCGTCGCGAAAACTATCTGCTCATCCTTTAACCAGGGTCTCTCAGGCTTGTTTACTACGTACGCGCTACGTACAGCTCAAGGCTCTGGCATGTGAGAAGGACAGAAACTACCTTGGGTTATGCTTGTACAGCGGCAGTGAATGAGTATTTTCGGAGTCTCACTTGTGGTTCCATAAGGTTGGGAATATTTGGATAGGTAGTATCCACACTATACACAACTGACACTCCGTAAATGGCCACCTCCATCGACACCTCGACTTCATATTTAACAGCTTCCCCGGGAAGTTCCCCGCCCTCAAGTCTCGTCAACCATGACCTGTCTCGCAGTTTGCTGCCCAGAGGCAATAACGTACCTGAGCCAGCCCATAAGACACCTGATGTCAGCCTGCCAGCCTGCCAGCAGCTAGCCAGCCCGGCATAATCTCTCATAAATCCGAAGCGGTAGTCATCCGACACAATGCCGTAATACTCCATCTTTCTCCACCCAAGCGAAGAAGGGACGAGAACGAACAAATGCTTCCAGCGCACGGACAAGCCAGGACAGTTCAAGACGAAGGGGAGGGGGATAGCGCAAGCAAGCACCTCAAAACGAAGTGTCTCATTGCACAGGGCCTCCTTTTCCAGCTAGCTCTCCAGCTCTTAGCAGGATGAGGATTCTTTGACCAAAAGCCTCAAGCCCGAGCACCCTAAGTCTTCTTGGACGAGCCGCCAGGCGTCGTGCCGCCACGACGCTTATACTTGCGTGGATCTATATGATGTCGGATTTGGTGCGGCGTTAGCAGAGCATCTCACAAGAGGGGCATGTAAACCCCGAGGAATCAAAAGAGAACGCGCGCGACGGACCTTTTCGACTCATCAGGGTCTTATTCCGGGTTCCTTTGCCGCCTTCCCAGAAGCCACTGCCGGCTTTACCGATCAGGACGGCGCGGCAGATCCCGCAGTTCTCGGGGCGGTAGATTTGTTCACGGGAACAGAAGCCACTGTTTATTGTATGACGATTAGCTTCGAGGCGTTGATTGCGAGGGTTTCAATTTTGCTTGGCTGCTGGCTTACCAGATCATGCGGTTTGCATGTTCATTGGGGTGGTCAGTGGCCGCATCGTGGCATCTGTGGATTGATTAGCATGTGGACGGGACGGCAGGGTGGGTTTGAGCCTGGTCATACTTGTCGCATGGAAAGACCTTTGCGCAGCAGCTGAATCTGTAGGGCGGAGGATGTTAGCATGGACACTATTTCGGTTTTTCTTGGGTGGGTGCTAGGCGATGGCGTACCTGAACCAGCGATAGCTTTTCCCGTAATGCGAGCACCGGCCACGACGGGGGAGTTCTTGGCCGGCGACGATGCCGAGGACTTCCTTGGGCTGATTTGGTGTTAGTATGCTTTCATTGGGAATATACCTGGGTTTTGAAGCATACCTTCTTGCGGGGAGGGGGACGATCACGAGAAGAGACTGTGTGGGGCGTGTGAGAAGTTGATCCTGAATGCGAGGCATGGAATGCTTACATGCTGCAGACCCGACTTTGAGGAACTTTACCTCCGGGACCTTGAGAACTGGTGCAGGTTAGTATAATGAATACTAAGTGACCTTGGCACAGATACACGTACCCATTTTGCGATGGCATTGACGGCAGTTGGCCATTGCGCTTTCGCCACGAACTGCCACAATTCCAGGGCTCGGAAATGGCGTCGAGCATTCCGCGCACGTGGGTATAAAGCTACTGCAGCGGTTGTTAGTGCATTTCCTTTAGTATGATAGAGGCGATGACAGAGGGAGGACTCCGTTCAAAGCAGAGTATCTGCTTACCTAGGGAGGAGATCGACTACAGTGCAACCATCCAAGTCCAGATAGCCAGCTCGGGTCGCGGTGGGATGCATCAACTGACGGCGGAATCCTGCCGAACCAAATGAGCATCCTTTGAGCCAAAGCGTTAAGTGCTGAGAGGATCGTCTTACCCATGCTCATCGTGTTCGCACACTTCTTGCATGTCTCCACTTTGAGAGACAGCTCGTCATTTTTGTCTTTGATCTGTGGAATGTTTCTCACATCCATCGTCTCCTTGCATCGATCGCATTTAATTGTGATATAAAGACCGACGAGCTCTAGAAGCTCAATCCCGTAAAGTTCCAGAAATGGGAAGGAGAGAGCAACGCCGTGTTCAACATTGGTAGGCTCGGGAAGGTCGGGAACAGGAGCGCCTCCATCTTCATCGTCTTCCGTAGGTTCCTCGTCAGACTCGGTGAAATCCGTCTCCTCAGAAGCACTACTGTCACCACCTACGTTCCATTCCGGAGGTCGGGGCACAACACGGACATGCGGTTTGTCCGTCGCCACGGATTCTGGAACCGGCGGACCTGTTACAGCTTCCTCTGATGGCTTAGAATCTGGAATCTCGGGTATCGCAGCTGGAGCGGGAGCGTTCTCCACTGGCGTCTTAGCGAAATTAAGCATGTTGCTAGTGAGATAATTGACCTGCGACATCAGGTTTAGGTTTAGGTTGTTCTCAACCCACTTGCTGAAGCCTGCTTCGACAGCTCGAGCCTCTGGGCCTTCAATACTGTTCAGTTCGATGGCGCTTGGCTCAAGCGGGTACAATTGAGGCACCTGCAACTTGACAGCCTTCACAGATCGGAGGGGCACAGGTAGCCGATCAATTTTGGCCGGCTGAATGGGGATAAGAAAAGAGAGACCGTTACTGAGCTTCTGGAAAGAGGACAATCTACCAAGTCGAGCCTCCAATTGTTTCGTCTCAGCTGCGCGTCGCTTCTCCGCCTGGGCCTTCTCTGCCGCGGTGTAAGTCGGAACCGGAGCAGGCTTGGGGGTCGATAGCATTTGGGTCCGAGGCTGAGAGGTTGACGGAGACACAGCTAGCGACTCCATACCTCTTGTCAGCTTCTGAGCTGCCGCTGACTGTGGCTTACTTGCTGTCGTGTTAGGCACAAATTTGAGCGTAGGCCCCCGTTCCAAAGTCGTCAGCAAGCGCTCCAGATGTCGATCTAGAGTGTTCATGTAGCTGAGCAGCGTCCCACGGCTGCCGCTTCTGATGGCGCTGTCGACAATGTCGTCGAAGCCTCGAGCAACATTCTCTTGGAATGCGCTTCCCATTTCGGGATTGGTGACCTTGATCGTGGGCCGTCCTTGAGTGGGGTAAGTTAGAGGGACGTGTAGAATGCACTGCAGCTTGTCCATTTCGAAAGGGAAGTCCGGATCAGAGGGGGTGAGCCCAAATGTTGCCGTCGTGCCCGTGTCATCACTGCTTTCTTGTGGGTGAAAGCGACGCCGTAACTGATTGAGCTGGAATTCTCTGGGATTCGATGCTTCTGCTTTTGAGATGGGTCGGTGGGGTGAGCCAGAGGTGGCAGTGCCAGAGCTCCCGGACTGCGTGGTGCTCATGGTTGTTCTTCGATTCTGACAGATGATGATATATGCCCGGGACAATCTTAGTCTTAGCTGGCAGGCAGATGTGTTGTCGTACGTACAATAACGGACTGTGGTACATTTGTATGTACATCCCCATTCCACAGATATATGGACAGGGCGGCGGCGATCAAGCTCCGCAGAAGCTAGTCTCGAATGGGACTGGCACAGCGTCATCATCATGATTACTCATTCTGATCATCTCCGCCGAGTCATACAGTTTGGCCATGACTCACTTGCTTGCCACAATTTGAGAGGAGTGAATCTGAGTGTCTTGCCTCACAGGCTAGTCCTGCAGTACCCAGCCCTTTCTTTGGCTTAAGTTTTGTATACTCAATGGAGAAGTTTATGCTTGTTGCCGCCTCAGGCACCGTACGCGGCCAGACCCCTCTCTACCTTACGAAGTAGTGGATGGCCCCAGGCACCCAATCACCATAGACCAATGACAAGAAGGCGTATTCAATACGATGGATGTGCTTCGAGAATGGCCCAAACAGGCAACTGTGGAGTCGGCCCGGTCTCCAAATCTCCCCCCTCAAAGGCACTCTTTTTGGCTCCTTGCCTGCGGTTCAAGCATGGTTCGATGTTTTACAGCCATTAATATTATTCTTGTTGTTCACAGTCCCAGTGGTCTGACCCGGCTCTGGGGCCATGTTCATGCCGGGCTCTTTGTTCCCTGACTGGCCAGTGAATGGTCGGTCAAGCAATATCAGGGGCTCTGCTGGTGCCTGGCAGTTCTGGCTAATAAGATAACACTAATAAACACAGAGAGCTCTGGATTATTTGGAGACGCTAAAGACCTGGCCTTTCTTTCCTCTCCTATCTCCATCTCTCCCTCCAACTCTTGTTTTTCCCGTCCAGATGATGATTTCTTCCCTCTTCTAACCATCTCTGCTCTGTGTTTGAATCCACTCAACTCTGAGCACTCCGCCGTCATGACATCCTTTGCTGTCGCCAGCGCCTACGCGGCCGCAGGATTCGTGATCATCATTGCGCTGAACGTCTTGCGCCAATTGCTATTTCGGAACAAGAATGAGCCCCCCGTGGTCTTCCACTGGATTCCGTTCTTGGGAAATACCATCACCTATGGCATGGACCCCTACGCCTTCTTCTTTTCCAACCGAGAAAAGGTCAGTGCCTCCGCAGCGACAATTTACCGTACCTGTACGAGCTGACCCACGGTGGTGTGAACAGTACGGCGATATCTTCACGTTTGTGCTGCTGGGACAAAAGACCACGGTGTATCTCGGTATTCAAGGCAACGAATTCATCCTCAATGCGAAACTCAAGGACGCGAACGCTGAGGAGGTGTATTCCCCACTGACCACCCCGGTGTTCGGGCGCGATGTGGTGTACGACTGCCCCAACTCCAAGCTCATGGAACAGAAGAAATTCGTCAAGTACGGTCTCACGCAAACCGCGCTCGAATCGCACGTGCAATTGATTGAGCAGGAGACGCTGGACTTCCTGCGCACCTCGCCTTGGTTCCAGGGAAGCTCCGGGGTGTTCGACGTCCCCGCCGCCATGTCCGAGCTCACGATCTACACCGCAGCGCGCGCCCTGCAAGGGGAGGAAGTCCGCAGCAAACTGACCTCCGAATTCGCCGACCTCTACCACGACCTCGAAAAGGGCTTTAGTCCAATCAACTTCATGCTGCCCTGGGCGCCGTTGCCGCACAACCGCCAGCGGGACGTGGCGCATGCCCGCATGCGCGAGATCTACACGGAGATTCTGGACCAACGCCGCAAGAACCCTGATGAGGAGAAATCCGACATGATGTGGAACTTGATGCACTGCACGTACAAGAACGGACAGCCGGTGCCGGACCATGAGATCGCGCACATCATGATCACCCTGCTCCTGGCGGGCCAGCACTCGAGTGCCTCCATCAGCGCCTGGATCTTGCTTCGCTTGGCCTCCGAACCTCAATACCTTGATGAGCTCTACCAGGAACAGGTCTCCAACCTCGGCCGCGAAGCGGACGGAACCTTCGCCCCGCTGCAGTATGAGGACATCGACAAGCTGCCCCTGCACAAGAGTGTCATCAAGGAAACCCTCCGTCTCCACTCGTCCATCCACTCCATTATGCGCAAGGTCAAGAGCGACATGCCAGTGCCCGGTACCAACATGGTGGTGCCCACCGGCCATGTGCTGCTGGCGTCACCCGGTGTCACCGCTCAGAGCGACGAGTTCTTCCCCAACGCGAGCAAGTGGGATCCGCGCCGCTGGGACGACCAGGTTGAGAAGGAGGAAGACGGCGGCGAGATGGTTGACTACGGCTACGGCGCCGTCTCCAAGGGCACCGCCAGTCCCTATCTCCCCTTCGGAGCTGGCCGTCACCGCTGCATCGGCGAGAAGTTTGCCTACCTCAATCTGACCACGATTGTTGCGACCTTTGTGCGCCATCTGCGGGTCTACAACCTGGAGGGCAAGAAGGGAGTTCCAGGAACCGACTACTCGACTATGTTCTCAGGTCCGCTGAAGCCAGCCATGGTGCACTGGGAACGTCGGTCTGAGAAGGCAATCTAGACGACTGCTGCTCTTTCCTATCCCTCTCACTTTCTTGAGGACACCACGGGCATAGGAGAGTTCTCGTGTGTCTGACCTGACGGATTGATGACTCCTCTTTTTCTTTCTTCTTTCTTCGTGGCTGTTTCAGCTCCGCCAACTACATTACTTACTCTTTGTAATACCGACCAACGCCTTCAATGTACCATAAGAAAACCACCATACATTAGCAATGGGGACCAGCCCCGTTCCAGCGAACAAATATCATCCCAAGACATACCATACCAGCTACGCAACCCACCAGCATCAAGTCCTTATACCCATTAAATCTTTGCCTCGAACCCACCCTCCCAAATCAAAGTCCCATGTTATCTCCCTCGCAAATCGAGTCCTCATACCCAGTAAACCTTTCCCTCCACTCCTACCCTCCAAAACCAAGCTCCTATATCTCTCACGCAACCCCTACATTATCACTCCCCAATCAAGATAGATAACAAAAAGCAGTAGGAGATACACCGCCAAACACCAGAAAAAAAGCACCCAACGTAAAGAACCACCAACAAGGGATTGAACTTCTCTCCTACTCCTCCTCCTCCCCCCCCCTTCCTTCCTCCGGAACCACAAACCCTCGTCGCACCTGTCCGACGCATCGCCCGAGAACGCCAACCAGAGTCGCATATCCCTCCGCTCCCTGTCTGTCCTTCATCGGCGCCGAAGACGAGAGCAGTACTAGTACTAGTAGTACCTGTCCAGGCTGAGGTCACAGGGTGAGGAAGAGAGAGAGAGATTATAGCCTCCGCACACGCGGTAGCGCTAGGGGTTAGGCAGGCAGTCAATCCGTGCGGTGGCATTAAATATTCGAGTACAGGTCATGATTGCAATGGCACGGTTACCAATCACAGATTCTGGGGTTGAAAAACAAGCGAGCTTGCTACTCTCGTCTGGAAGGTCAAGCAAGCAAGCAGTCCACAGTCAGTTCGTTCTGACTATGAATTGACGGCCTTGTTTCCCTCCGTAGCTCTAGAGCCACTGCTACGATCTATGAAGATGATGCCAGATGATACAGGCAGACATCTGCTCGGTTTGACTGTTTCTGGTGGGAGTGGGAGGTGGCACGATCTGTGAATGTCAGCAACAATCACAGAGCCCAGGGGGTCAGTCATTCATCTACCCATTACCAAAACTAACATCTTCATCTCTACATCAATCTATCCCTACTATACAGCCATGCCATACATAACTAACGCACACGGCCGGCTAATTTTAGCCAGCCAGGCCCCTCTTTGAGGCTGATGTTATGGGACAGTGTTTGCCAACGCTCTCCAAAAGATTATCCGCGGGAAGAAGGCGAAGGAAAAAAGAGTAAAACAATTGTCCGACACACGACATATGTCAAATTAAGAATTGTTTGGTTCCAGGGCGTGTGACCCTTAAAAGTTGCGGGCCGATATGTCGGATTCAGGGGATTTGTTTTTTCTTTGTTTTTCTTTCCTCACTCCGCGGATCTACGGGTCTGGAAGGGAATGACGGCGAAAAGAAATAAAAGAAAAACGAAAAAAGAAATGAAGAAAGTGACGTGAGAAAAAGACAGCGGGGAGAAGAAACGTCTGCTGAGAGGCTGGATGATTAGCCATCCTCAGGGGATTGATCGGTTTCGTTATCTTTTGGTTTTTTTTCTTTGGTGCTGTTCTTTAATGAGTGGAAGGTCGGAAGATTGAAGCTCGAGCACTATAGTTATAACACTTCATTGGGACAACCGAGTATATTGCACATGGGAGGTGACGAGCATGGGTAAAGAGGTTGAGAAGAGGGGAAGGACAAGGAATAGGCGCCGATCGACCAGGCCTGGACCTGGGAATACGAATGGCGCATTAATCTAGAAACCGAGGCGGCGGTTGTCTAGGCCAAATGGAAAGGGTACTTGAAGTATGTAGACCGGTGTAGATGAGCCAGCCGACTCTAGGAACTATAGAGAGGCTCATGACGCGGGACGATGTTGCGCAATCGTCTGGTTGACGTGGAGGATGATGCTGACCTCATGGTCTATCTAGATAATATCTGGCGCGAGAACACGGTGAAAGACCGGGATTGAAATCCCCAATGGCTGGTATACAAGGGAAGCGAAAGCTAAGAAAGTGGTAAGTTGTCGAAAGAAATCAATAGCAAGGGCATCCTGTCATCCCCGGCAGGTCCAAGAGATCACGCGTGAGATCGAAGGAATGGCCGAGAAGGGGGGCAAGGGAACAGATGCCGTATCGATCGGCGCAAAGGTCGCTAAGCAAGATTAAATGCTGGTACGGAATGGGTTTTGACGGCGACTTTTTGTCTGCGCGTTGAAGCCCGGGGGTTAGGGAGCAAGGGCTCTGCTCTCACCCACTCTCGTCGCGATGTTCGAACTGCCAACGCAGAGATCTGGTGACCCGGAGATCGACAAGTCGCCAGGTCCTGGCCAACGACGACAGAGCCGGGATCCAGTAGCTGCAGCCACAAAAAGTACCTGATTCGGTTTGAAGACGGGAGGCGCTGGGAGGCGTTCTTGTTTCCTGTTGCTGTTGTTGTTGTTGTACTCTGAGGTTGTTTAGGAGAGGGGAGAGAAGGAAAGAAAGAAGGTCAAGGAGGGGAGTACAAATGACGCCGAATGGGGACCACGTGATGGCTGCTGATATCATCGAGTCACCATCTGTTCTACCCCCGTGATATGCTCCGTCTTGATTTTCATTCTGAAATCTATCATTTATTAATGCGATAATCTCGAAACGTCCGTTGAGGCGACGATCATCAAGCATCGCGGGGAAAAGAAGTCTGGGGAAATTGTGACCATAGTTAGTGAACGAAGTGGATCGATCTGTCAGAAAGCAGCAGAAACCACCGCAGCTTCTTCCACTCTCTGACGTGGAGTGGGACTGCAGTGGTCATGAACTGCTGCCGAATTGAGAATCTGTTGCAAATGCTTTCTCTCTCTCTCTCTGCAATATCCAATCCTGATAGATAGGCAACGCATTGCTAATCCCATACAACGCCGGCCACGAGAAAAAGACAATCTCCCCGATTGGAACAGGCAATGATTCCGAGGCGAACGCTATCAACAAGAAAGCAGTCCATGCTGCAGTCACCCTCATGTGCACCATTGATCGTTGCCACGTAGAGGGATGCACTTTGTTTTGCGCAGTCCCCAAACGTCGACCGATGTTGCGTTGTCCACTGTTTCTGTCGGAATATTGAGGGCCATCTGATGATGCCTGCGTCCCTGCCACCTTGGCTATGTGATAGCATTCAGGATCGTGCTGTAGTCACCCACCTTGAGGCGCGAAAAGGGAAGAAACACCCCATTCTTAATGGAGAGCTTCGACCTTCATGCTGCATGGAAGATGAAATGACATGCTTTTGGATAAGCTGGCTGACCACCACCATTTTAATGGGTTAACTTTGCTTTTTTTTTTCTTCTTCTTGCCTCTATGACGCCTTGGTCTAGATGCAATGGCTTTCAAGCCACAAGCAATGCTATATTGACTCCACAAAAGATAAAAAGAAATGGCCCCTATGCCCCCTCCCCCATCTGCCGCTCGAAATGAGCCTTAGGTAGTGTGTGCACTCCGTGCACCGAACTCACAACACCGTTGCATGCAGGAGGTGGGGAGTCGGGTTCTCCGGCTTGCATATGCATCATGTAGCATCGTTGTGGCATGAAGAATGAATGGGCAAAGACAGAGTGGACAGTGGTGACCCGGCCAATGCGTTTGCAGATAGTTATGATAGAGAAGGAAACAGTCTGGTTGGCGAGAAGTAGACTGGCAGGTGCAACACTCCAATTGTACATGACGATGATCGATTCGATCATCGGTGACTTCATCTCTCTTCCTTTCCAGTAGATCTTAGGGCCAGGCAGACAGACAGGCAGACAGACAGACAAGCAAAACCACAAGTAGTAATCCGGAGATAGCCCTCCGTACCTAGTACAGTGCAAGTACCTCTGTTTGTAAATGAGAGTTTCAATACAGAATCAAAACAAGAACTTTTGAGAAACCCAACTGGAAGTAAAGAACACCCCCTCCCCTTCACCCCTCCTCTCTGGCCCCCCCTCCCGCAGGTGTACCGATGGATTGGAAATCCTTCCAGACCACAGAAACTCCCGATTTCGATTGGCAGGTACGACATGGGCTGCATTTCCGTATCACTAAAAAGTCCCGACAGGTGACCTCTTTTCTTTGGTAGCTAGCTAGCTTAGTTACGGAGTAGTTTGCGACCTTCAGAACCGACCGACCGACCGAACCAATCCACAAGCCACAACACCAGAAAATCCGGTATCTCGAGATTAAACCTGCTGGCGGGTGGTGGAAGGGGAAAAGCCTCACTCATACACTGCCCCCCCTTCCCACCCCTCCAAAATCTCCCCCCGCCAAATCATCGTGCCTGGTTTAGGGCTCCTTTTTCTGTGTCATCGAATTGTTCCCCGCCCGCCGCCACCTCCCCCTCATTCCCGGAACACGCACAGGGCTCTCTTCGACCATGATTCGTGGGATCAATCTGAGCGACTACTCGTACTGTACCGTGTATCTAGTATGAATAGGTAGGTGAATACCGGAAGTATCGACCCACTGAAGACTTAGTATACACTTAGTATGAGGAATTGGATCGGTGCCGTACATGACCTTCGACGTGGAACGCAAGTACTGTACCCTGGTTCCCGAGTCAGCTGACTCGATGCTATCCAAACAACAATAAAAGGCACACTTTAACGAATAACGAGTAAGTACTGTACAGTGCAAAGTACTTGTGGCCATGTGGGGACTAAGTTAACGACCGACACGCGTATACGCATGTTGAGACATCGATGTTTTCGATTAGACAGTACAGGACAGAGGACACGCCGGTGGCTCCTCAACCCGGAGAAAGGAATCGACCAAGTCTGGACGGTTGAGATCTACGGATGGTTGGTCTATGCTGGATTGTTTTTCTCCCTCAGCCTGGATCCATTTAGATGCAAGATCCCAAGATTCAACGAAAGGTCACCAGACAAAACTCCTTCCGGCAAAAAGAGGGACGAAAAGGCAAAATCGAGAGGCTGTAAGTGGTTCGATTTCTAAAGCGCAATTCATCTGCCAGCTTGTTCCTTCAGCACGAAAAAAAAAAAAAAGGCCCGCGGTCCAGAACCGTCTCGACATTCAGAAGTAAGCTTGGAGAAGTCGAGAAGTCGAGGAATTTATTTCTCCGTGATTACTCCGTCCATACACACATACATCCCCTTGGTCGAGGCCGGTCAGGGTCCTTACTGTACACGTAGTTCAACCTTAAGCAAGAGAGGGAAGCAACTCATCTTAGCCGGACAGACAAAGCCCATAGGGTGTACATTACGGCCATAGTCCGATGGAGAAGAGGTTCTCAAGATAGAGAGAGTTTTGGCGCACACAGGGCGCAAATCTAAAGTTGGTGATCAAGAAAAACGCGCGGGTGAAGAGATCCGATTTCCCCGAACAAAGTCCCTCTTCTCAATGCTCACCAATCATCGAGTCAATCAATGGGAAGAATAGCAACCCGCACCGCACCTCAATGTGTATCATCCACCCTCCAAAATCATCCTTATACCGATCTCACGGATTACCCCCGAGTTCAATTATTGTTACATTGAACTTCAGTCCAGCGGTTGCCATTGAAAATGGGGAAAGGTTGGCCGCCCCTCTCGAGTCTCGACAGGTACAGTACAAATGTCAGACATGCAATTATCATGCAAGCCAGTTAGTTTGTTGTGTGTTGATGACTGACTCCATCTAAAAGCAGCGGGGGTTTTGCTGCTGCTGCTGCTGCTGTACTCACTACACCAATTCGGAGCAAAGTCCTCCGTCTTTCCCCTCTCCCCCCCCCTCCCATCAGCCTTCACCCCAGAAACTGACATTGAAACCCTCTCTCCCACTACGTAATTTCCCGGATTCTGTGCAATGCTTGTCTGATACCTCCATACTTAAGAAACAGAAACTGGAAGAAAATGATATCAGTGCCAGAAACAACCCAGAAGTATAGACCAGTCCATAAGTTAGGTAGTCACCGACGAAAACGCCAACGCTAGCTATGGTCTGCCGCAAAGCTTTGACGAAAAAGCAAATCATCCCGGACCGGAATAAGCAAATATCGATCCAAAAAGGAAACTATCTTAATCGAAAGGCAACCATGGCGAGGTGCGAGAGAGGGGGGAGGGAGATCTCAATGCTTCTCGTCTAGGTCACCCGTGTCAATCAACATGCATGCTTATGCAGCTGAACTGCTAGTAGTAAATAAACACACACGGGCATACACGGCCAGTCGCCGCCGCCGCCGCCGTCGCCCGGCTGGTCTCCCAGGAACCGCTCGAGGGCGGTCTGCAAGCCCCCCAGCAGCAACTGTAAATATGAGTAATTGTACGGAGTACTATACGGACAGTAACTACCGGGATGTGAGGGAGGCATCTGGCACGATTGATGCGACTGACCATCAATGATCATCCACGGTTTTCTGGCTATACACAAGGAAACTACATTTATCTCGCCTTCCATTGGCCCATTGCGAAAGGACAGAAAATCCTCAGCCATGGAGCTGTATCCGGACAATCCTTCTTCCTGGAAAAGTCGCAGACAACGTACTAATACATACCAGTAAAAGTGTGTGACCGCTTGTACTGTACCCAGGAGTACTAGATGGATGGTATGGATGGTACCAGGTATCCGGTAATACTAAGGCCGCGACAAGCCATCTGCGAGCCGCTGCCCAGCGCCCCACGCAAGTACCGCATCGGCTTGATACCCATGAAACGAAAAAAGAAAGAAAAAAGCAAAAGCATAAATACCGATCTAAGCCGATTTAGTATTCCGATTTGCAAGCCTAAACCTCTTCTAGAAAACTTCTCGAATGCCCGACCTGAATATGGAACGAAAAACCCAGACCCAGAAGAAGTCAAAAATGCTGGGTTTCTGGGGCTCTGATTCGCCCAAGGGCGCACTTGACTGCGTAGTCGATTTTTTTTCCCGAGGGTTGGGTATAGCCAGGGCAGCCTGGATGTAGTACGATTTTTGCTTTGCCTTATGCGGAAGATGCTTGAGATCTAGTAAGCGCAACTCAGCTCAGCGAAATTACCCGCGGTATTTTAGAATTTCCGCATCTTTTCGGAAGGACCATCGGATGCGGAGGAGGAAAGACTAGGTTGAAATGAAGAGTGGTAGGTGTAAGTTTCGGGGGGATGTAGTTACGGAGTAGGTTAGTTGGTGGTAGGTGGTGTTGGATGGGTGGTGGAATGAAGGATGTTCGGCTCATGTGATCATCCCGCGGCTCGGGGCCATCGAATCATTGCTTTGGCGTGTGCTTCGGTAACAGGTTTTTGGTTGCTAGTCATTGACACATAGGTTGCATTCAGTATTTGACGTCGGAATTTGAATTCTGAAGAATGAGGGAACTTGTCTGAACGTAGACTGCGGACATGTGCGGTAGGTTGGCAAATTGAAAGAAGGCATCTAAGAAGATCTGTGTTTGATACTCCATGCTCTTACCATTGTTTCTGTATCTGAAGCCCTCCATGTATCAGTATAGTATTACCAGTGATGACAGAGAGCCCCGTACATTGGCTTGGTATCGAGTCAGGGTCAGACATACCCCTTACCATCCAACAATACCGATTCGTTGTGCAAGCTATGACCATAATGACCTAGACATAACGCGGCATACCCCAGTGGCTGGTGTAGTGTAGATTGCAAGTGGGCTACACTAGAATAGTAGTCAAGTCCGACCGAGTGGTATGAGAAGATTGAAGATGCCAATGCTGCCCAACTCTCGGGATAGGCCCGCTCGCTCGAATCGGGCTCCTTGCTTCCAATTAGAAGTCCCCTAGCTTGTAAGTCTTGTATAGTGTCAAAATTTCCTATTGAGGCGCGCAAAGGACTAAGTTTGAAACTGGAAGGAGCCAAGACAGGTGGACGCAGGAGCTTACGCCACGTGATACGGCAGAAAAGGACGCGCGACCGGCCCGGTGGTGAAGTACCTGGATACAGTAGCGGACAGTGGACTGTTTTGTCGGCGGTGTGATGCGACAAACGAGCGGCTGTTTTACTTCTGTTTGAGGTGGCGGTGCTAAGGATTACGGCTTCTGGTGATGGTGATGGCCGCGGCCACCTCCGAGACCCCGTCACGCGTTCAGGGCCCAAGGAGCGATGTACTCCGTCGGAGGCAAAGAAAAATGATCTGGTCGGCCCGGTCTAGAAGGTCTCCGAGGGAAGACGATAACAAGGAAAATAAAGTGTGTGCAGCGGTTGCAGTGGTGTGTGGTTGCGCCGAGAATACCCCATTCTGAAATGCAGGAAGAGATGATGTGCATCGGCATGCCGAACTGAAAGCAGGAGTCGGTCCGAGTCTTGACTTTTCCCTGCCTTGCAAGGAAAGGAAGAGAGTACGGAGTCAAGGGAACCGGTTCGCGATGACATCTCTTCCAGGGGCAGAGTGGGAAACGACGTAATTGACTTCGGAAAGTTCATACACTTCTTCGAAGAATTAGATTATGGGCGCACTGCTTGTTTGCTCCACTTCCGGCCTCGTGGTTTGGATCAAGTCAAGATGAAAACAAGATTGTTTCGTGTCTATTAAGGTTGTGGTGAAGTTACACCGCGAGGCCTCCCGGTCGCGGAAGGTTGCTGACTCAGGATTCCAGGACCCCAGACAGAGAAGGGAACGAAGAGAGGTGTACCTAGTAGTACAGTACGACCGTACAGTACATAGTCGGTTACCACCAATCTTGTCAGGGCTGATACGGTGTTATTGTATAACAAGATGCATCGTAACCGGTGAGGAGAAGAGCCCCTCGACTACGAATCATCTTGCTGCCCGATCTCAAGAGACAAGACCCACTTGGTAAGGTAATTTGATCCGCAATGAAAGGAGAAGACCTGGTTCTGAGACTGACATATGGATAAGGTCTGGAGGGACTCCGAGGGAGACTGGAGGAGTGAACGAGTCCAGCGAGTCCAGCTGAGGAAAGTCGCGCTGCCCCGACCTTTGCAGCGAGACGGTAAGCCCGATCAGGTAAAGCTCCCCTTCAGCCTAAGGTTTCGGTGGTTCATCTTGGGGTTCTCGGGGTCCACCGGCTTGGTCTGGAAGACAGAGAAGGGAAGAGAGAGAAAAAAACCAACCAGCCGCAAAGCGATGCACGGTCGGCTGCTCCACGTTTTCGGGCAGAATCGGACCTTCCCCTCCTCGTGCCTTTGCCAATCAATTGGTGCAGAGCCATCGGGAATTCCAGGAATATGTGGGGTCTTCCTGAAGAGATTCTGTGCCCTCTGATTCGAGGTTCTGCTTTTCGTGCCTTTTTTTATTGCTTTTTGCTTTTTGCTTTTTGTATTTTTGCATTTCTTTTTCCATTGTTTGATTGTTCAATTGGGAAGTCGATTTCTCAGAGAGGACAGCCGTTGAGTGGATCTATCAATATTCAGACGCAGACGAGATACAGTCACCGAATGTCCTTCCCTACGACCAAGAGACCTGAATCAAGTCGAGCAGCAATTCAAGACATGAAAACGGACGACAGCGATCCGGTGTGTTTAAACTGGTTGGCAGGGCAGAGCAATTAATAATGATCCCGGGTTACGTCATGGGTGCTTCAGCAACCAAGATTGTCAGTGCGCACGCGGACATCAAATTTAGCTCCCCCGCTTAGGTCACTATGAACTATGAACTATGAGTATGAACTATGAACTTATGAAGGGACTTACGCTATGTGCATAGTACAACAGTACAAAATACTTACGTATGAGACGATGACCATGAGCAGTCCCAACTACCGGGTAAGGAAGAAGGATGAGTTAAGATGGTGGGCTCCAGGTAGATCAATGGATCTGGTCCCAGAGTGATCTCTGTGCGCTCCCCGGGAATTACTCCATGCAACACGCACGCAGATGACTTGTCTCCCGCCCTACACCTCGAGTCTAGAACTTGTGGTTGCATCGATCGCCTGTCGAAATCCTCATATTCGACAGAAGAATCGAATCGAAAGTCTGGAGGCCATGTATCCTTTCGTAACTATGATTAACTAGTAGGTAGTCGTAATAGTATCGACCTACCGAGTAGTTACCACGAACGACCAAGCCTCCCTCCCTCCGCAACCAGCTCAACTCTTACCCCATATGCTTCTCCACGCACAAGCACATGCTTGTCAGTGTCAAGTCTGTTGCCACATTCCACAATACCCAACGGACTAATGAGTAAGAAAAGATGCTTTCTCTCCCCGAGAATCGACCCCAGTATGTCCCCTGAACTCGACACGGACATAGTGACGCAAAGGGGTCGAATATCAAAAGGGGTGCAATCCATCCACGGTCCCCCCCCCCTCAGCTGATATACCAAGACTTTGGAACTGCGACCGATATAGTAACACACCACAATCCGATAGACTTTCATCAAGATCAAATATCCAATTTTAATTCTCGTGGACTCCGACAAGAAAACAAGACAGCAGAAAACAAAAAGAACATGTCTGAAACTGAAGTCAATGATGATAGTCGCTTCCCGAAGAGCCATCCACCGCCATCACCGACATGCCATCAATCACATCGACGACCACTGTATCCTGTCCGTGTCATCATGAAGTACTTACTATATTTATCGCAATTCTCCCTGGACCCAGGAAAGCCAAAAAAGAAAAAAAAAAAAAAACACGATCATCTCCGTGAATTCCCCGACCGGCTCTTCCGTCCGTACGCACGTACTCTACTTTGTCGATCTGCAGTGTGTTGAGGTTATGGTTCACCTTCTCTTCTATCCCGTCATACCCTTATGTCAATGACAGTTCATCAACTGCTGCCTCCCCGAAATCGCCTCCAGTCAATTACACCGAGTCATTCCCCCAGACTTTAGAATACATCATCAGTGTATCTTTCTTTCAACATTTCCCGCCCGAACAACACTTCCCCAGAGTGAAGGTAAGTACCCAAACTAGGAAGAGAGAGAATCCTAAATATGGCAACACCGGGGGAGGTCCACGGCAGCAACATCGAACCACCGAAACCCAACCACCAAAGGAAGATTGACTTTCTTTCAACGAAACTGACTCAAGTAACAAATAACATCGAGTTTCTTCCCAATTTCATTCATAACCACTGATCCCGCACCCTCCTTTCCCTTCTTCCCCTTCCTCTACCTTGTTAATCCTAAAAAAAGTCCTTTGAGAATATCTCCGAGAACCACACACCACCAAAAAAAAAAGATGGTGGGATCGTAATATCGGCGAGGCGACAGGGGAGGCGCGCGCCCGGCATGTGAAGAAGCGATCTGTGCGGATTCTAGATCGTGACAGGGATAATGATTAATTATTATTATGGTCGCAGTCAATTCTTAGGCGGTACTCTGTATAATCATCAGTAAGCACAGGCACAAGCACAAGGAGCTTTGATCTTGTAACCTATATGTAGTGTACTGTACATGTAGGCTGCGATGGGCTATGGCTATGGCTAGAACACACGCACACCCGCCTGGCCCGTCCTGGCCCCTCTTTTTTCTTTTTTCTTTTTTCTTTTTTGATTCTCCTCAGCTACATAGCAATATGCTAACGCAGTAACATGCTGATCTAGGTTCCGGCCTCTCCTTACCTGCCTGAATGAAAGCGGACGGTTTGAGGAACCCCAGATAGGATAGTTAGCTGGGCTGCTGGGCTGCTGGCCAGGTCTGTGCCCCAGGAAGGAGGGGGGACAGAAAGGTGATGAATACGACTGACTTACCTAATGCCTTGTCCAGATCTAACTTACCTAGTAAACTTAACCACCTCCTCATTCAAACAATGGCATTCTTGTATGGGCTCGACGCATCAAACATACGACGCAAATGTCTTACTTCTCGGAAACGTTGCTCTTCTTTGTTATGAATTTTTATTCCAAATTTTGCTTCTTTTTTTGGAGCTTGCTCCATACACAGCGGTTGGGTAGATGAGAAAAAAAAAAGTATCAAGTAGCGTACACGGCATGTGCAGGCCGACTCAAGAGCCGGCCAGGTAAGCAAAGGAAATTCGGGGAACGTGGTATCTGGTATCAGCGAGGCGTAAAAAAAAAGAAAATCAACAAACGGGCTATTTCAAAGTATGCAAAAACGCAATTCAGTTTTTTTGTTCCGCCGCCTGGATCAACGATGAAGAGGAATCCAATGGACCGCTCGCGCATCAATTCCACCCAAAATAAGCATAAGAGTTGAGGAAAAGTAGAGACCCTTTTTTTCAAGGTGTCTCCGCCGACTGTGCATCGCCGTAGAAGAGAAGTTCATCTGTACAACAAGATTAATTGTGTAAAAGACGCTTGATCCCCCCAGTGGCCCGTGTATAAGGATAGCAGACAGCCACACAATGCAACGTAAAGATAACAAAAGCAAAATAGCAATGACCCAAAAGAAAAGATGTTCAGGTCGAAACGCAAGGCCAGATGATTCCGAAGTGCGCCAATATGCAATGCAGTCGTGATGGTACGTGTCACAAGGATGATAATCAATCGATGGTCTTTACATGTTGGTGAAAACAAAAAAAAAACAACAACAGAAAAACAAAAAGGCGTTCGATGATCGGGTATCACTGTCAATGAACAATATCCACCAGATAAGAGGATGTGTTATGACAGAAAATTCAAGGATAATCGAAGATCGAGGTATAGCGATCGTAAGATCCAAGGGAAGTGTTTACCATCCTTTCACATGGTATTCCCAAGGTCCAAAGTCGGTGTAGTGATTCCAAGAGCCGGTCTTGTCCTTCCCTTGGCTGGCAGGTTTAGTTGCGGGACCTGCATTTTGGCCCGAGGTTTGACCCTTCTGGGCGTCCTTGGGACCAGGATACTCCTGCAAATTGGCCATATCGTGGGCGGTGTGGCGTCGCTTCAAAAACGCATTAGCGGTGGCGCTTTTCTGCTGACGCTCCCACAGCAAGTGGCGACGGAGAGACTCCGTCAATTCAGTAGCCAGCATGTTCCGACGAGTCGTGCGGGGCGAATGAGCGATGGCTTGAGGCGTAGGCTTCATGACAATCGGCTTGGAACGAGGAACATCGGGGCCGCGCATCGTAAGACTCTCCTCGTCGTCGTCGGGCGGTGAAGCCGGAATGGAGGGGCCGTTGGGTGAAGTGAGGCGGGACCGCTGAAGAGCCGGGGTGGACCGGGATGCTGCGCCCATTTTGGTGGGTTGATGCATCATCATGGTCAGCATCGAGCGACGGGAGACGAGGTTTGGTCGAGAATCGACGCGTTGGAAGAGTTCGCGCTCCTCAACACTGGACCGGCCGCTTTCTGTGACCGAATCCTCCCAATCAGAATCAGAGTCATCCTCGATGGCGCTCTCCGAGACTTCATCATCAGTCTCAATAGCGTCCTCATGCTCCTCGAGCCGTTCCCGAGTGGGCTTGATGATTCCGTTCTCGTCTCTGAAGGAGGCCACCTTCTTCTTCGGACTTTGGTTGCTCGAGGAGGGCTTGCTTAATTCGTCCGATAGGGAGCTCCGGTGAGGACCTTGCATCGTGATGCGATCTTCAAAGGAGCTCTCGTCGTCTCCAGAGGAGCCACCAAGTGTGAACATGCCGCCCTTCTTCTTGAAGGGCATAGGCTTAAGCTGTCCCGATTGCTTGGCTGGTCCAGGCTCGGGTGCCAATCTCGGCTGCGATCGGTAGGATGAGGATACAAGCGAAGGAGAGAATCCACGGACGATGCTCGGGGACTTGATTAATTCACATCTCATGGGGATAATGCCGGAAGAAGAGACACTGGTGTCGGAAGCAGCAGCGCAGGCACTGTTGTCGCTCTCGTTACCCTCGGGCGCTGTAGTGGAGCACGACTCCGTGGACTGGTTCTGCTGTTGGTGAAGAGGATACGGTGGCGGTGAGGGCGTCCGCTTCGCGTTAGAGATGGTAGGGGAGGAAGGAGTGGGAGTGGACGGGCGTGGGGTGATATCCACAACAGGAGGAAAGGGGGTGGTCATCGATTGGGGAGGAATAGGCTCCAAGCTCTTCTTCTCCTTAATGTTCAGCACCATACGTTCCAAACCCTCGGATGTGATATGCTTCTCTTTCCCGCGAGCCAAACTCAAGAGAGGGCTTGAATCCTCACGAACAACTGCAGGCTTGAGATCAAGCTTCGATCGCTTGATGTGCTGCTCAATCCTGTCAGCCTGGTCGGACGCGGCAGATTCGACACTGGCGGAAAGTTCTGGCATGTCCGAGGTGTCTGTGCGAAGGAGTGGCAAAACCGAGGCATCGCTGCTAGTCTCCGGTTCCACGCAAAATGTCTCGCGGGTCCAGAGTCTCCAGCTGAGATTCTCCAGTCGACGTCCCTCTTCCATGTAGTCGGCGCATTTCGAAAATACTGGTGCGAAGATCCTAATCAGCCATCACACAGTAGACTGGTTGTAAAGACCGGCAGTGCTTACCCATCCACATTCCATGTAAGCTCTGTGCATTGGCGGTGTCGACCTTGTGGATTTTGGCCGTATCCACTGTCAGAACGGGGGTTGATAAACGCGAAGGCATTTTAACGACGCCACAATTTCGAAATCGGTTGAAGTTGAGAGGTGTTCCTTGTTCCGTCCAGGGACTTTCGGGGTCGCCGTCTCCCCCGAGCGTGGTCGTACGGCGCGAAGTGTAGCGAATTGAAGCTCCCTGATCCTCCAGGATGTCGTTGGGATCGAGTTTCTCGGTTCGAAAGTCCGCAATCAAATTGCAGTGTCGATTGAGCAAGTGATGGCGCCCCAGCTGCCTTTCGAAATAGCAGCGGATCTAGATATCAGCGATTGTGGTGCGGGATATGATCAGGCGCGAGATGCACGGTCGGAGGCGAGTTCGGATAGAGAGTCTGCCACCGGGTGGTAATTCTCTTTCCCGTCCGGGTATAGTCGAAGCAGAAAGGTAGAGACCGGCAACGACGAATGGTCGAAGCAATTGGGAACGAGGATTGGAGGGTCGCGAAAGGAGCCGCCGGTCAAAAGGGAGGAGGTGTCGAGTATATGGGGGAAGGTGCGAGGTTGTCGACGAGAGGCGTGGAGGGAATAAAGAGGGAGAAGAGAGAGAAGGGGAAAAATCGACCGTAGGAATATGGGGGAGGAGAAACTTAGTACGCGGTGGAGCAGGCGAGAAAAATGAGGAAAGGGAAGATAGTTAAACGACGGGTCGGTGGAGACTTTGAGATTATGGGACGGGGGGGAGGGGAGGAAAGAGGAGGGCGTGGGAGAGAACAGTAATTCGGTATGAACTGGTAATGGTACAAGGGGAAAATGGAAGGAAATAAAAAATATGGGAAAATGTGGAAAGTATGGAA